ACAGTCACACTTACTGAGACTTGCTTATTTGATAGTTTAGATAATTTTTTTTCTTGAATGTTTCTTTTTAAACTTTATATATGATCATTTCTGATGAGTCAGTTTCCAGTTTTGACTTTGCCAAAGGTGTTCTGATGTTGTCTTTAGATTTTAAAATTGTATTAATATTCTTATTTTTTTCTTGAATATTAAGCTTGAAGCTTAAATGTTTCCTTCTGTCTGATTTGTCATCTCGTTCTCCTTTTCCTCCTCAGGTGTGGGACGCCAGCAGCGGCGGTCTGCGCCAGAAGCTTCCGGCCGACCTCCCGGTGCTGGACATCAGCCCGTTTTCTGTGAACGGCGAGCACTTTTTGGCATCGCTTACGGAGAAAATGCTGAAGCTCTACAAGTGGGAGTGAAGTGGGAGGAGTGGGTGAATACGACAAGAGCAGAAAACCAAGAGACAAACCTCAGTCCCACGAGGAAAGGACGCCATCTGTGAGGAACTGTGGGAAATGTAATGCTGCTAAACTTTTACCTGTGCGTTTACACCGCTGAACAGGTTACCGCGAGTGATCGGACTGAGGAAGCGTTTCACACTCATCGCTTCTTCTTTTTGAAGTGATTCAAATTACGCAGGCGGATCATTTCTGTTCAACATATGAGTGTGATTTCAGGAGCCAAAGATCAGATTAATAATGTCTGTGTGTGAAAGAAAACATGAATGTAGGCCAAACTCGTCTATCTTTGTCATGAAAGTGAGTTCGGTTAGTTCAAGCAGGACTTTCCAACACTTGATGCTAAATTTATCAGATTTTCAGAGTTTCCCCAAAAATTCAACATAAGCCCCCCTTTTCTTTTTTTGTCCGCCTTTTAAAAATTTCAGGTTTTCATTTCTGTCAAACTCTGTCCATCTCTGTGGCTCGTTATCGGAGTCAGATTTTATTTAGCCCTCTGACACGGATCACAAAGTGCCAAAGTAATCTGCTGTCGTTTAAAAGTTTACTTTCTTTGTCTTTTTAAAGGAAGTTGTATATATGTATATTTGCCACCAGTTGTTTGTGTACGCCTTCAAAAGTTAATAATAAAAATGTGTTATTTTTAAATAAAGTCAAAATGTTGGATTTAAACTGCTGTGTAATTCATTTTTTTTTTTTTAACGTGTGTTCATATGTAGTATTTTTATTTTTTTCCCCCCCAAATAATCTCAAGGGATTATCAGCTGTAGAAAAATTTCTTCTCCATTGGATTATCAGAGAACAGATCAGCTAAAATTATGATCTAGACTGATTTATGCTGAGGATCAAAGATGGATGCTGAACAGAAACTAGATTTAGTTTCAGATTGTGAGACTTTGAGTGTAAAATTGACCTGTGAATAGGTGTTGGTAGTTTCTACTGTTTCCCTGCTCTTTGACATTTGGTCTCTCAGCGTGACTATGGCGCTTACGATGGAGACTGACCACCAGATCAGTTGTTAGAGCCTCCTACATGAGATTAATGTGCTGACTAGAACTCTGTGGCCTGTCACTGTGGGATGGTTCAGTCTAGAAACTTTCAGTTTTTCTGTCAGCTGAGCAAATCAGCTAGATGCTGCCTTCATGGACTGCTCGTACATCTTATCTTCTTAAAAGCTTTTTGTTGGGGGAAAAAAAAAAAAACTCCGACAAACGCTCCTCTTTTAAGGGATTTTTCTTTCTGTTTTTTTTATTGTTTAAAAAAAAACTGGCCACTTCAAAACTATGACAATATACATAATTTGTCAGTTTTGAACCAAAAGTCTTGCAAACTGTAAAAAACTGGCTACATATAACCAGTGTTGGGACTAACCATTATTAAGTAATGTGTTACAGTAACTACGTTATTATTGTGGTAACGAGCACGGTAACTAGTTGTTATGCCAAAATTAGGAACGTGTTAGTCGTTACTGGGATTACCGCGATAGTCACCACACGACTATCGTGGAGCTTCCACAGATTAGCCACAAGTAGTGAAGGAGGGAAAGGGGAGGCAAGAGGAGAGTCGCCGGTCCAAGTGTGAACTGAACTTCAGGTAAGAAGTTATGACCTGCAGTCTCTCTGGGTCAGATATGAACCAAGTTTAGGTGGAGTTTATTTTCATTATGCTGACTTTTTCCGTACTGCGTGCTAGCTAGCATGACGGAGTTTCTATACAGCTGGGTGGGTGCTATGAAGTTAATGATGTTGAACTTTATTTTGTTCATAAGGTTAATTATTAGAGTTTCCAACCGTCCTGTAAAAAACAGAATCGTCTGGTATTCAGAGAAAATATTATGCATTCCTATTGAGCTGAAAAGGAACAGTTTGTCCCGTAATTCAGCTACAATGAAAAAGACACAAAGCTGGTGTTATTCTGTGTCTTTGCTGCACAGCTGCCTCTTCTTCTCTCATTCTCTCCCCTCTCCTGTTGCTACTTTAATCATGAAAACTGATCAATGATCAGCTGATCGGCTTTTCTCTCTTGTTTGTTTATCCCACTTTGCGCCAGAAAGAGGAAACCAGCAGATTCTAACAGCAGCACGTTTAAGTTTAATAAGCTGCTGTTAGAATATATTTAATATTAATTTCTAGTATCAGCTGATGTTTGCTGGAGCCACAGCTGTAAAGCTGCTGGTCATGATATCTGTTTGAATATGTGATGAGAGGGAAACATGAAGATGAAACCAGGAGATGTCCTTACTGAATCATCAGAGATGGGCAGGTGATGGAGAAACAGGTTTACCTTTTAGGTGACATGAATGAGTTGAAGGAAAGTTATCAACTGTTTCTGAGAGACAAATAACACCAGGATCCTTTTCTAAGCAGCTGACAGCTGGTAACTGTGCAGGGGCGGGTCTAGCAAAGTGTTGCCAGGGGGCAGGTAGGGCATTAACAGGGAGAGGGGGGCACAAAGACATACTTTCTTATTCTCATTTAAAATGTCTCACTTTTAAAAAATAATTATCTGAATCTTACAAACGATTGATAGATTGATGCATATATACCATCAAAACAGTGAACATCACTGTCACAACAGTGTTTGTTTTCATTCAAAGGCTTTATGATTTTTCCTATAATGGTGGGCCAGTCTCTAGTCAAAATGCCCGGGCCGATTTTTTGTCCCAGTCCAGCCCTGTATGCAGCTCATCTGCAGTCTGGTGTTACCTACATCTTCCTATTCAGAAGGCAGAATTTCAGAGTTCTGAGTACAATCGAAAGCACCACGACTGCAGTTTTTGCGTTAGATGTAAAAAAGAGCACATGACGCTGTGACGTAGGCTAGAATCATGGCGGTGGTCAACGACGGTCCAGGCGTGGGATTTCTCTCGTGGAAATATGCACATTATTTTTTTTTTCTATTGGTAGGTGGCACAGTGCACTTGTGGCAATTAAGCAAGCTAGAAGACTGGCAAAGTTATGGAAACAACACATTAACAAGAGAATTCTGAGTAAAACCAAACTTACTTTTCCTAGTAACTAGTTACTTTGAAAGTAACAAGTAACTTGAAGTAACTGAGTTACTTTTGATAGAAGTAACAAGTAATGTAACTAAGTTACTCATTTAAAGTAACTTACCCAACACTGCATATAACAGTTCCTTTGTTTTGAAGAAAGTACACTGAACTACACCTACATTCTGCTTCAGACATTTATCAACCACAAGACGAGACCACATCATTCTGCTTTCAGTCATCCTAAACCCACGCTCATTTATCTGTGACTTATTGATTTATATTGCACAGACAGTAAGAACGGCATGTATGCAACATCATTTCAATGCACGTTTGACTACTGTTTGTCCTTGTGTTATTCCTAAAATCTTAACTTTCTTATTAAAAAATATCCAGTCTGAACTCAGAGCTTGATTGATCCTGGGTGCCACATCACTTAAGTTTAAGTGGTTTCTTGTGTGCAGTACCACAGCTTTGGACACAGCTTATAATTTTTACATGTTTTCAGCTGTTCTTAAAGGTGCATGTAATAAGAAAACAACATTAAAAAAAACACCTCTACCACTAGCATTTTAGTTGAAATTCCTACTCTAATTATTTAATTATTCTTTAATTATTTTTGAATTACCGGCTTAAGCTTATCATTTCTAATTAGTTAATGTTTTTATGTGTTTACCTTAAAGGAAACCGCAGAGTCGCTGTGTCGCGCTATCCTTAGCACAGGGATAGGGTAAAATGGAGGCAGATGATCGTATATGGTGACCAGCCAAAAGAAGAGTTCTGTTAATAAAGAGATCCACCATACCACTCCTGAGGGCTGAAAATGCCCAGCTGATGATATTTAATGATATTTGAGAAACACTGAGGTTTTGTTTCCGTTTCAATGCACACTTCGAAAAGTCTGCATGAAAATACCAATTACAATTATTTATTTCCATAACATCCAATATAACACTTTCATTTTAAGACATGAATCAGTTGAAAGTCCAAACTTACCATTACATGTGTGTTTCAGGTTCACACATCAGAGTGACTGAGAACGTCGTGCTGTGTTCTTTCCTGAAATAAAAAGCATCCCCTGAAAACAGCCTGGATCCATCTCCGTTCTCAGGCTGATATGAATTTGAAATCAAATAAGTTATTGTGAGCTTAACAAATGCAGCAGTCTTGTGACTGAAAGGTCTTTAATCATAACATACTTCCAGGCAGAGGAAACATGACCAAATGTGCAGCTTTAATCCGGACTGGGAGGTGTAAACAGATCTCACCAATTAAACTGGAACAGTAGTAACTGAACTGCTCTGAACCACACTGTATGATGTTTAGACATCAAGTTTACACGCAGTGTTCACAGGTTTTAATTTAACTAATTAACTTTATAAAAGATTAAACTTTACACTAAACTAATATCATAAAGAATGCCAGGAAGAGACATTTCCATGGCTGGATGACTCACAGCATGAACACACGAGGACTTATTAAATATTTATGAACTATTCACTAGAAGAAAACAATCTGTCTGGAACTTTATCCTCAGTGCCCATATTTCCGACAGCTCCTGAAAGCAGCAGCAGGCTGACTGGCTCTGTGAAGATGGCGGACTGCATACGTGTTCCTCTGCTCCTGCTCTTGATGTGCATCTTTTTGTTTGTACATCCGATTCAAGCTCAAAACAAAGCTATTTCCAAACTTATTGCCGGTGTCGATAAAATGCAGAACCCAGTTGGAGGTCCGGGGCCCGCGGTGGGAAACCCTGGAGTCGATGAGAGGAACCAAGGCGCCGGGGCCTCGCTGTCTCGGAGGCGCTCTACCGGCTGGAAGTTGGCTGAGGAGGCGGTGTGCAGAGACGACCTGACCCGGCTTTGCCCCAAACACTCCTGGAACAATAACCTGGCGGTGTTGGAGTGTCTCCAGGACAGGAAAGAGGTATATTCGCGGGAATGGTAGCTTTAATCCCGGAGAAAGAGGCAGGGTGTGCCTGCAGAACGAGCTAAAGCTAGCTGCTAGCAACCAGACAACGTCACGCCAAACGCCAGGCAAAATTACAGCAATTTATGATTTTTTGTATCGTTTTTAATGTAACACCCAGTGCACGAGAGGACTCAAAACATTTTCATAGTCGTTGAAGTTTAGTTTTCAATTCGGCGTGCTACAGTGCCAGGAATGCAAGGAACTGTGTCTCAACTGAATGCTTCAAATTGGAAAAGTGAGACGTGGATAAGAAAAAAAGAAACTGGTTACCATTTAAATAAAAGTTGGACTATTAACAGGCCGAATTTATCTGAATATATTACCGACTCAGATTAACTATAAACTTGGATCAGAGTACCTATAGGGATTTAATATTGGGCTAAAACTGGTGGATTGTTGGTGCTCTACGGAGTAGTTAAAACCACGTATGTTTCGGATTAGCTAGCGGTTAAATGTCAAATTATCAAAGAAAAATGCTCCTTTGCTGGTATAACAGTCCGCAGAAACCCAGCGGCACTCTGGCGTGGACAGATGGGTAACCGAGTAACTTTTTAAACCGAGTGACTTTACATTAAAGCTGTTAACTGTTCGGCAGCAGTTGTCGCTAGCTCTGGTAGCCTTGGCGAGATGCTAACCCAGATAACGTTACCAAACCTGCTGCTGGGTGATTTTAAGCTTTTTTTACTTTTAATTTCAGACCCCGATGGTGATTGATAGGGGTGTTGTCCACCTAGTGTGCGGTTGTTATGTGTTAAAGATTGATGTGAGACAGACTGAAGTGTTAGGACTTATTTTGTCTGATGGTTTCCCCCCTGGGGAAGGCTGTTGGTGGCCTCTCTGTGCAGCCCCGTTATTCTCTGTGGTTTTGGGGGTTGTGAGTGTTGACTTGGCGCTGTTAAAGGTACCTTTTGTAATTACCCCCTGGAAATGTGATTTCAGCTTTGACCACAAGAGGCAGCGTTTTATGTTGGGATGTTCTTAGATGTGCACCAATCTAAGAATAAACTTTTTTTGTTTTTTTGTTGTTGTTTTTTTTACAGTAAGTCATTTAAATCTAACCTTGTACTCTTGCAGTAGCAGAGGAAGCTTGTGCTGAAAAGGAACCCAAAAATGCTTTACAGTACAGTGAGATATTAAATTGTGATGTTATCTTTAGTTCTAATAGAAATAAAAGTATATGTATTTTTATATATGTGTATCAATATGAAGATAACAAAACGGTTAATAAAACTCTGTAAGAAAGGTTTTCTTTTAGATTATCACAGTGGCTGGAATTATGTACATCTGATGACTTTAATGACTGGCCTGGTTAAACAGGGAAGGTACCTGGTTTGACTAGCTGCACTGATGTCTAATCAGAGCAACACATTGACATTATGGATAGACGGTAGGATGATAGTTTTAGTAAAATTAGGATAAATAATAAATCTCCTCATCTTTGGTCTTTGAGAAAATGTGGGCATCTTACCACAGCTGTTTATGTCCTGCAAATAAATCTCTTTCATTCTCAGGAAGCTGTATGCCTTTATAAAACAATATGTAGAAAAAAAGTAATGAGCTTTTTAACTTTATAATGCATTTTCACTTTCCAGGCAGTTGTTGGCTCTGGTTGTACATAATTTAAAGCATTTTACAAAAGGGGCATAAGAACTATTCATTACAGTGGACATTACGAGGCCCTAATTTGCGAACCTATTCACCTATGAAATTAACTTAACTGGAGATCTACCAATAAATTCTTTTCAAGTCCAGTTAAAAATATGGATATCTTGCCTTTGTGTACCTTGTCATACTGAGTACCAGACACCCTTCAGAGGAAACTCATTTCAGCTGCTTGTGTCCTCTGTCTCATCCTTTTAGTCTTTACCCACAGCTCGTGGCCGTAAAGAGTAGGAAGATAATCAGTAAATCCAGAGCTTTGCCTTCAGAAAGATATTTGTTCCTCTGCATGGAGCCTGACTGTGTACACCACTGTAAAAAATGAAGCATCTGAGAATACGCATTTATTTTTATTAGTAGAATGGTAAATAGCACAGCTCTCAGGTCTCTTTTCAGCTCAGTGTGAGAGCCTCTCACTGTCCTTGTTTCCTTTCCTTGTATCCTCATGCATCGATCAGTGCATGAGCACATTCAGCATCTAATACTGAAAAGCGTGTTTGTGTGTGTTTGTCTTTTGGATAATGCCAAGCAAAGACCACAGTCCAAGCATCACTATTTCTTTATGTTACCACCCACATTTTGATTTCTGAAGGACATTAATGCAGAAACATTTACCTCACAAATATCACTTTTTTATCATTGCTGTCACAAATCCCTCCCCCAAATAATTAGATAATATCCATCCATCCATCCATCTTCATCCGCTTTATCCGGGACCGGGTCGCGGGGGCAGCAGCCTAAGCAAAGAGGCCCAGACCTCCCTCTCCCCAGCCACCTCCTCCAGCTTATCCGGGGGAATACCAAGGCGTTCCCAGGCCAGCCGAGAGATATAATCTCTCCAGCGTGTCCTGGGTCTGCCCCGGGGCCTCCTCCCGGTGGGACATGCCTGGAACACCTCACCCAGGAGGCGCCCAGGGGGCATCCTTGTCAGATGCCCGAACCACCTCAGCTGGCTCCTTTCGATGTGGAGCAGCAGCGGCTCTACTCTGAGCCCCTCCCGGATGGCCGAACTTCTCACCCTATCTCTAAGGGAGAGGCCAGCCACCCTTCGGAGGAAGCTCATTTCTGCCGCTTGTATCCGCGATCTCGTTCTTTCGGTCACTACCCACAGCTCGTGGCCATAGGTGAGGGTAGGGACGTAGATCGACCGGTACATTGAGAGCTTCGCTTTTACACTCGGCTCCCTCTTCACCACGACGGACCGGTGCAGCGTCCGCATTACTGCAGCTGCAGCCCCAATCCGTCTGTCGATCTCCGGCTCCCTTCTCCCATCACTCGCGAACAAGACCCCGAGATACTTGAACTCCTCCACTTGGGGCAGGAACTCATCCCCGACCCGGAGTGGGCACTCCACCCTTTTCCGGCTGAGAACCATGGCCTCAGATTTGGAGGTGCTGATCCTCATTCCCGCTGCTTCACACTCGGCTGCGAACCGTTCCAGTGCGAGCTGGAGGCCCTCACCCGATGAAGCCAACAGAACCACATCATCTGCAAAAATCAGAGATGAGATTCTGAGGCCACCAAAGCGAAAGCCCTCCACCACTTGGCTGCGCCTAGAAATTCTGTCCATAAAAATTATGAACAGAACCGGAGACAAAGGGCATCCCTGGCGGAGCCCATCACCCACCGGGAACGAGTCCGACTTATTGCCGGCAATGCGAACCAAGCTCTTGCAACGGTTGTATAGGGATCGAATGGCCCGTAGCAATGGGCCAGACACCCCATATTCCCGCAACACCTCCCACAGGACACCCCGTGGGACACGGTCGAATGCCTTCTCCAAGTCCACAAAACACATGTAGACTGGTTGGGCAAACTCCCATGCACCCTCAAGTATCCTGGAGAGGATAAAGAGCTGGTCCAGTGTTCCGCGACCAGGACGAAAACCGCATTGTTCCTCTTGTATCCGAGGTTCGACTAACGGACAAACTCTCCTTTCCAGCATCCTGGCATAGACTTTCCCAGGGAGGCTGAGGAGTGTGATTCCCCTGTAGTTGGAACACACCCTCCGGTCCCCCTTCTTAAAGATGGGGACCACCACCCCGGTCTGCCAGTCCACAGGTACTGCCCCTGATCTCCACGCAACATTGCAGAGGCGTGTCAACCAGGACAGCCCTACAACGTCCAGAGCCTTCAGGAACTCGGGGCGGACCTCATCAACACCAGGGGCTCTGCCACCAAGGAGTTGTTTAACTGCCTCAGTGACCTCGCCCCCGGAAATTGGCGGGTCATTCCCCTCATCCCCAGACTCTGCTTCCTCCTCGGAAGACGTGTCAGTGGGATTAAGGAGGTCCTCGAAGTATTCCTTCCACCGCCTGACAATTTTCTCAGTCGACGTCAGCAGCGCTCCGCCAGCACTATACACAGTGCAGGTAGAGCACCGCTTTCCCCTCCTGAGACGTCTGACGGTTTGCCAGAATCTCTTCGAGGCAGTCTGAAAGTCTTTTTCCATGGCCTCTCCGAACTCCTCCCACACCCGAGTTTTTGCTTCAGCCACTGCCCGAGCCGCATTCTGCTTGGCCTGTCGATACCTGTCGGCTGCCTCCGGAGTCCCACAGGCTAACCAAGCCCGATAGGACTCCTTCTTCAGCCTGATGGCTCCCTTCACCTCTGGTGTCCACCATTTGGTTCGGGGATTACCACCACGGCAGGCACCAACTACCTTGCGACCGCAGCTCAATGCAGCAGCTTCGGCATTGGAGGCACTGAACATGGTCCATTCGGACTCAATGTCCCCAGTCTCCCTCGGAATGCTATTGAAGCTCTGCCGGACGTGTGCGTTGAAGATCTCACGGACTAATTAGATAATAAAGTATAAAAATAACAACAACATAGAATTGATTTGAATCGACTGGTCTGTTGTCGTGATGCTCAGTCGATTCTTTTGAGCTGGGATCAGGTTGATGTCAGATATAAAAAAAAAAAAATGTTGGATCGGTTAAATATTCAGTCAGGGGGAGATTTCAGGCCGGAGGAAGTAAGAGGTGGAGAAGGCTGAACCGTGGATGAAGGAGAGTGGCCGTAGGTCTGATGCAATTGGAGGCAGAGGTCGGACGGCTCGACAAACATGAAATGTGTTGGAGCTGTGTGGTCAGTTTGAAAATGTAGGTGCTGTCCTGTTCAGTCTGTTCGTCCTTCTTTATTTTAGTGCAGCTGAAGCGACATCCTAATTAAACTTTCCCTAATACTCAACTTCTGTAATAATGAAGTTATTTACAGTTGGGTCTGTAACTTTGGGCACATTTGACACATTTTTCGTAAAGCAAGCAATCAAAATGTGATTATATTGTGATTAT